CCGCATGCGCCTCCACTGCCCTTACGTTCAACGTACATTCACTTGCCTCATGGACCTATTGGGCCACCTGCGCATTCACGAAGACCTGCGGTTAACAACCGTTGGTCAAATGACATATCCCCCGCTAGCACCCGCATCACACGACAATATCACCCCTACGAGCACTCGAATGCCACCTCAAATGCATGCGGAAAGTTTACTTCTCGGCTCCGTCTCCATGCAGCTCCCACGCTGCATGTGAGATCTGAGTCTATGACTATCACGGTGGGCCAGTGCCTTGGCTTTGAAGGCTGCGGACTGACTCCTCAACTCAACCCACCAGTTTTCCCAGTTATGTTTGTTTCTTTGAAGTGGCGGACTGGTGAGCTGAGATTCAGGCTGTCACGGCCCTTCCTAAATTGACCTTTGGCACTCTAAGGCATGTGAGGAGTGTGTGCTACTTAATGGGCAATGCCCTTCAGTCGCCGATTAACACTGTTGCCCACTCTTTGAGGGATGATCTCCCAGGCAAACACAGGGCTGTGTGTCACCCTTTTTGTCGCCAAGGTCTGTCGGCGTGTGCTATGTCGTGGTAAGCAAACTTTGACCCTTGAAGAAGGAGACACGATCGCCGAGACAAGAGCTTTATTAGCCTGACGTTTCGGATTCCATTTCGAATCCATCATCAGAGCCAAAAAGCAGAAACGGGTGGTTGCTGCACAAGGGGCTGCGTATTTATAGGATGCAGTAGCCATGCTACCGCATACCTATGAACGTTCACGGCCCCCCCTCCTTCTTCATCCGAGATCGTCGCACGTGGTGTGATCACTGCTTGATGGCCGACATTCGAGTCGATAATTGCTTCAATTTCATCACGTGCGTTGGATGTTGGCGTGATGATTGCTCGACCATATGACGCACCGACCCCAGTGTTGGGAAAAGTGTTCACCTCTGCGCTCCCCGCATGGCTTGTTACTCCGCCTGGGCGAAATTTTAGCACGTGGTATGGAGTGGGAAGATCGTTGCACTTGTTGATGGACTGGGGGCCAGTAAACCATGACTCCAGTAGCTCCCGGCTCACGCGGTTGTAACCTCTTGCGAGAATTTCGGCTTCATCGAATTTGAATGTGTGGCCGTATCTCGTCGAATGAGCCGCAACTTGAGGGCTGGCGTCATTTCTGCGCACCGCTGCCGCGTGTTCGGCCATTCTCGTTCGGAGCTGTCTTCCGGTTTCTCCGACGTAGTTGCTTTGTCCGCAACTGCACCAGATCCGATAAACGACTTCAGACGTTTCTAGTCGTGGCAGTGGGTCTTTCGGTTTCATGACCAGACGCCTTTGACCCTCGCAGCCTGACGTGTGCTGACAGTTCTTCGGCACCTGGTTCGCTGGTGGTAGTTGCGCTTGCGCTCTCGCATAGCTGCCCAGTAACCCACTTCCTTTCTGTTGCTGTTGCTGCTGCTCAAAATCCTGGTCATATGTTTGTTGTGAGCCAGAGGGCATGATGTGGAGGGCCAAGGTGCAGATTCGGTCGTGACATCCACCTGCGCCCATTTCGCCTCCAGTCTTCTTCACTGTGTCTTGACACCGTGCTCAGGTGGGGGAGAAGAAGAGAGTGCGGTAGATGCTGCGCAAATCTGCAGCCACTATAAACTAAACCATGCGCGGGTTACCGTGCCTGCTTCATCTTGCTTTGGAGCATACGGTTGGCATCGTCAGATGTGACAATCGAGCTATGAAGACTTTAGTTGTATCAGATCAATCAGTAAAACAACTGGCCAAAATTGATTTATTTAAATCCATTCACGTTCAGCAATTTTTGTCCAACATTTCACAAAGTTCGTGTGTGTGTACATATGAATATATATAGGAGCTTTCTGTTACAAAGCGACTGGGGTTTACAACAAGCATTTAGCTCCACCAAAGGCACATTGAAGACAAAGCAAAATGAAACGGCAAAAAACGACGCAGCAGTTAAGTAAACAAATCTTCCACTTGATGATGCACTTTATCGGTTGGTTCGCCATTCTCTTTAGGCCAATTAGCCAACCATATTCAAAAGATCCTCTTCAAAGAAGGCAATCAGAAACATGATGCCAGCTCCAGTAATAAGACCGAGGTTTTGGATCAGAAGTTGAACCATGCGACTGCGTCCAGGTTTAACTTCAACCGTATTGAGCTCCGGCAGCTGAAATTCGACAGTAATTTTTAAGCAGATGACTGTGTTTGATAGCCTAGCATAAATTTTACTTATATGAGGGTCTGGCTGAATCCGATCCTGAGCACAATTCATGACGCAAAGTAAACCGTTTGAGTTCTCTTTTAAAAGACCAGCTTTGCGAAGAACTTCTAAAATGTTCGCTGCATACAAAGAAATAATCTTTTTATTCTCGTTTCAGTGTAGCTAAGTCTGAAGTGTATAAATTCTGGTCAGGGTCGCTGCGAGAAACGGCAAATTACCATTTTGATTTTGTGTGATTAAGTTACGAAGTTTATTTTCTCCGTCTATGGATGGCCATATCCAAGTAAACGGAAAAACCGCACTTGGTACAATCTTTAGCCAATGTCACAGCTCTTGAGCTCTCTGGCAATACTTTTGTTTCTTTGTCGTTCTTTTCGGGTGACTCGTCAAATTAAACAGGGCCATTTCTTCTAGTTTCCACGTGCTCCGAACGTTTCATACCATAAACTGTTAATAAGGCTTTTCAGTTGACAAACGAACAATTTGTTAAAAGGAAAGCATACCATGTCAACCAAGGCGATATAAATGAATGTTCCTGCTGTAAGCGCAAAAATCCAGGTTGCCGCCGATTCGATATTGCCCACTCCAATCCCCACAAACATGCCAACCAGGCACAGAACCGACGATACGACATTGAAGAATAAGGCTTCTTTGATTCGCATGCCCGTTCTCAAAAGTACTGCAAAGTCGCCTATTAAAAAGAAGAAGAATGGTATGTTTTTTTGCGTTTATTGATGCTCGGTTTGCTGTTCTCCTAACCATATATTTGTAGATCCTCAGAATTATACTTTAAACATTTGTGGAGTGATAGAGGGCACCGTCGGTTTACACCAATGGAACATCGATTATTCATTCAGGTTTAGCCACTGATTCCTAATAAATTTGTTCAGAGAAAGAAAAAGCAATCTATAGTCACTTGTTCGATTTGCAAGTGCGATCGTTAGAGGCTTTGAAATGCACATCAAACCAGTTTTTGACACTTGAATGTCAGTAATTTGCATCGTGATACCATGCAGGCTGTTTATGTACGACATGAAGTTACAAAAAAATAAAATTTTGTAAATTCGACAAATGCTTTGTAGTGGGAAGCACACCTAATAGGTGGTGATCCGATGATTTTTAAATGTTAAATCTTTAAAAGGATATGTAAACGCGACCATTGATGACCAGCACATCTGCACAGAACAAGAAGAATTTAGGCAAACACGTTTTTTAATGCAATGTCCGCAAGGGATGTAATAGTGTGCATATATAGAACAAGGCGTGGAAACCTCGATCATCTGTAATTCTCTTAAGACATGGTAAATCTAAATACTTAACTCCGCAACGTGCTTTAACAACTTTATCCATCTTCTAATATATATGCATAGAGGACAATAAGGTTTAAAAACGAGTTCCTCCCTGTGTAACTTACCAAGTTCATGCGGAAGCTCATGGCAGAAAACAGCAACCGTTGTGCTTATGCCGCCAGCTATGCTAGCTGTGAATGCAACACCTGATAAAAGTTTAAAGACACGTCGAAGATTATTATTAGCGAAAGTTAAATTTGTTTCGGTCAAAACTGTCCCAATATCCTTGCGCAAATCGATATTTTATGCTTCGAAAAATATCCCTCTTAGTAAGCCTATTTATCACACACGACGTTTATGCGAAAATTGTATTAACTACATACAAAGAAGACATCTGGAATATGTTTAAGCTTATGCTTGAGATGCCTGCACTTTAGAAGACATCATCCATTATCAATAATTATTGGCTCGCTTCTCATAGGAAACCACAGATAGCTCCGACAGGTGCCGATTTCGCCTATTAATCGGACAAACAATCCCCCGGCAGTCCAGTTATACATAGATTAAAATATGTGTATTTTGGAATTTTGATATTAACTTGCAATTGTTGACATAACTTGCGTACGTCGAATTTTTTCTAAGTAATTTTATGCCTCCAATGCAGAAAGTACGTCCACCTATACAGTGTTAGCAAATAATAGGGGCAACTTCTCAAAACCGCTTAAATATGCCACCGTACGTTTCTGCTTCTCCTACCAAGAAATGTTTGGCAACATTTGGTGAAAATATTTTTCGAGCTCTCTAATGAACTGCTAGCTAAGTTTCATTGAATATATGGCAAATTATAATCCGTAGCTGAACGTTCTTCCAGTAATTTTTACGGGGATTTCCCTCTCAGACATTCAGAAAGTAAAAGTAAATACGGCAAAATCATTCGCGTCAAGCTGCCATCTATCGAATTCCGACAGCGTATAATTTAGTAGTAAAATGCCAAAAGTGCGGACAAGACTAAACACAGCCAGTTCAAATTTAAGTCGGTTTATATTTTCAAAATACAAAGCCTTGCGTAGCATAACGCTCCTCTGTAATGGCTTAGGTAAATTGATTTAATTGTAGCATGCATGACATAGACGAGGGTAAGTTAATTGAAATGTGGAAGTAGTAAAACGCCCAGTGGCACCGCTATCAGGAAAAATTCACACTGCGTCAGCTCAAATGCTGTGTTTATTTTCCATGTTGTTATGCCCGTAAATGTTTCCCCAGTTCCTTGATCAAAGAAGCAAGGTTATGTGCTGAAAATGACTGCCAGCTTTTTCGTTTCCTACGAAATCACAGAAATCTTTTAGACGCTGATAGTAACTTCCTGACACAAACGAACAATTAACTCTGCATTGCTTCCGGTAATCTTAGTAATTGCTTTACGCTCCCTTAAACATGCAATTCTGTGTCACTGTAGGTTGCGCGTCCTTCTTTCAGCTTTTTTCACTCCATTTGAAATTTCGCTAAAACGTCACAGCCAACTTAACGCTGTTGTTTGACCTTTATCTCATTTCAATGGAAAATATTTTCCACGGTAATATTATTTATATAATTACAGCATACTGACCCTCATAGACGTAATCCTATACGGACTTGAGCTCACAGAAGCTAGTGTGTGGTCAGAAATCAAGTATTAGTATAAATGGTTGCAAGTAAACATTTAGTTGAATACTGGTGCATTTTGAGTTAGCGTATAACTAACTCTGCGAATTGGAGTAAAATGCATACCAGGAAGAAAACAACTAGATGACATAACGTAGCAAATATATGTTCTTAAGGCAACTAATGTAAGAGTAATTACTGTCACTTTCAATATTAATCAAATCGTTCTTACCGATTGCCATCCCATCAGTAAAATTATGCAATCCGTCTCCCATGATCACCATCCACGCAATGGCGGCCATTGAGCCAGGAACCTACAGAAGCGTTAACTTGTATACGCGTTTTCTTTAAAAATACAATTTTGAAGTTTGTTTTGTTTTGCCAACGCACAGAACTGTTTAGCACCGGATGAAGAGAAACGGCAAAGGTTTACTGACTAATTTAGCAGTTATTGTTGGACGCGATTCTTAATCAAATAAAAGCTAACCTCAGGGAGTTAATTTACAGAAAATGAAAAAATATGCCGTCCCTTAATGAGAAACATACCGCTCATTCAAGGTAATCAAACTTGGGAAAATGCAGTACCCCATCTCTCTGTATGATTCTTCGCAGTTAATATTGCCGAAATAGATTGGCTGTATCATCTTAAACTAGGCAACTAAAGCGACAGCATGTTAGGATGTGAGCATTTTCCTCTAATTTGTTTTGCAAACTCAAATACTCTGAGTATAAAAAAATCGACACATTCAACATGTTTTGTATGTGAACGTAACATGAGCATCCAAATTTACATTGAATTTGACAGGACAGTAGGCCACCCTTCATACATACTTTATGCGGTGCGATTCCGTTCTGCCCGTTCATATTGTGGACGTTGACTGAACAAAATTCTTATTCGTAATCGAAGAGTGCAAGTGT